TAATGAGATTGTCACCAATGAATAGATTGTAGAAGAATCATAAGGAATAACATTAAGACGATCTCAAAGAGAAAGGAGATCTGCTATTCCGAATGACTATGTGATATATCTGCAAGAATCTGTTTTTGATATATAGCGAGATATATACGGATCCGATTACATATTCACAAGCCATTAACAGTAATGATTTTACTAAATGGATTAGTGTCATGAATGAATAGATTTCTTTCTAGTATTTAAGAAGGAATCTTTTAAAATATCATGGCATTAGTAGCTTATTATGATTTAGAGTTACATCAAATGGATGTGAATACAATTTTTATGAATAGGAGTTTATAAGAGGAAATCCATATGGAACAACTTGAAGACTTCATATTAGAGGGTAAAGAATTCATGGTCCGCAAACTTAAGATATCAATATATGGATTTAAACAAGCTTCCTAACAATGGTATATTAAGTTTAATGATACCATTATTTCTTTTGGTTTTAAGAAAAACACTGTTGATCAGTGTATATACTAGAAGGTTAGTGGGAGTAAGTTTATATTTCTGATTCTATATATTGAAGTTTATATTTCTGATTCTATATATTGATGATATTTTATTTGTTAGTAGTTATCTTAGTTTATTATATGAAACTAAAAGTTATCTCTAATAACTTTGAAATGAAAGATATGGATGAGGCATCCTATGTGACAGGAATAGAAATATTTCTTTATAATTCACATTGATTTATTTTTAGAATTGTCTCATAAAGCATATATTAAAAGAGTTCTAGAAGATTTGATTGGAGGAACAATATTATGAAAAAGTGCAAAGTAATTTATGATTACTTTGTCTATTATGAAATTTTAATTTGTAGCATGCTTTGAGGTTATAATTTATGGTTGCAGAATTTATTTCAGGACTTGGAGTTATGGGTACCGTTTTCAGATTGCTGAAAATTTATGCTGCAATTGTTGATTTTCTTGTATGAAAAATGATAGGTATTCTAAAGTTGAAATACTTTATCATTAAAGATGATATTTAGAAACAACAAATGTCTATTGAAATTATAAGCACACAACTTATGATTGCAATCCATTAATGAATGGACTACCATCCAAGACATTTATGGAACATGTTGAAAGTATGGGTCTTAAATGTAGTCAATGATGTTTATTTTTTAATTGTGGATTACTTAAATAGTGCTTATATATATTTGACATTTTGCGCTGATTAAATGTGTTGCTGATATTTCCTATTAATTAATGTACATGTACGTATTACTTTAATAAGTGGTAATAGGAATAGTCTTGGAAAAGACATTATTGTTAGATCATTATTGATACTTCTCATTTATAGACTATGTTGAATAGATTACTAGTGTTGTGGTACATGGAAGGGACTATGTCATTTAAGGATATATAACCGCCATGACTCGCATTGGTAATTTATTTACCATGGTATTTATGATGACCAATTTAATGAGTTAATCTAATTTATGGTGCACATTAATAACTATTTTACTAAACCACTACAGAAATTATCATATGTGCCAAGTGGGAGAATGTAAAATTATTTATTTAATTGTGGCCCACATGATTTGGACATGTGACATATTACTTGGTGGAAAAGTAAATATATATCAATTAATATTATTTATTTTTGATCAACTTATAATTACCTTTTTGGTAATTAGTTATTGGAGAAGTGTTTTCCTTTCTTATTCCTTACTTTGATGGAAAGTAGAATTATGTTACTATAAGGAAAACTGGTCCTCTCTCTGCCTTTATAAAAGTGCATATACTCCATCAATTATGTACAATTAATGAAACAACACGTAAAAGTTTTATGTGTGCAAAAGGCCAAGAGAGAGAAACCAGTTTTCACCTTTACCTGTTGATTAGAGTTGCAGATTAGTTCGTGGCCAAAGGATCTAGACGTTGGACTTAATCTCAACAAGAATTGATATCGTGAATCGAGGTATTTATATCTAACTAGTATTTATTTATGCATTATAGATATGTGAAAATCATGAAGTTCTAAGATATGGGATTCATGTAAATTTGTGATTAATGACTTAACACGAATTATTATAGTTTACAGATCGTTGATAAACTTACATATCTCGACCTATGTACACTAAGTACACTACAAACTACAAACACCTCTTAAAATATATGCACATGGCTCGGTGATGTTTCTTTTAAGGGTTAGACTTGTAAATTAAGCTCACACTAGTTCTCAAAAAATAAAAATAAAATAAAAATACAGCAATACAGTAAAAGCTAGATTCTATCCTAGAAATTATATAGCTAGTGTTAATTTTACATATGTTTCCTATGTAGCACTTTAATTATTTAACGTTTGCTATGTAGCACTTTTATTGTTCTTGTGTGAATAATAAAATGCTCATGTAGATTTTCTCACTTTTAAGTGCTTTTATGTTGCAGATACTAGAAGCATATGTATTTCTTTATCCAAGTCTTCATCATAAATGGACTTATTAGTGTGACAATAATATAAGCTTTTTTTTTTTTTTTTTTACTTTTAATATGTTAGTGTCTTTTGTGGTTGTTGGACGATTTCCATTTTCTTTCCAATAAGCAACCAAGAGCTATACACACGCACACACATACAGAGAGAGAGTCTCTTGATCTCTTAGTTACCCCTCACTGAGTAAGTGAATTTATTCACACTTTGTACATGAAAAGTTATATTACGTAGTATTATTTTTAAACGTATTCACTTGGTACCCATGTTCCTTGAAGGAAATGGGTTTTTTCAAGATATATTTTCCCTAACTATGAGTGTGTGTAGAGATTATATATGTATATGTATATGCTTTACATATATAAAAGATGAAGGATATTTTCCCTAACTATGAGTGTGTGTAGAGATTATATATGTATATGTATATGCTTTACATATATAAAAGATGAAGGAGACTCACTTGATGATCAATTACATATATAAAACTTGACAATCAATCTTTTTTTTTCCCAGTTAGTACTCACACACACTTATCTCTTCTGAGACTTGAACTCCTAACCTTCCTTTGGGAAGTAAAAGACTGATACTGTTAGGCCAGTAGCCCGTTGAAAACTTGACAATCAATCAACCACATATATATAAAGTCCTGATCTCTTATTCACTCCTCACATGAGTGCATGTAGGGATTTTCATGTATATATGCTTAACAAAAATCATTAATGATAAAAGACTACCTTAGTTCGCAGTGGCCTTACTTCTCTTGATTCCTCTTTCTAGTTCTCCACTCACTAGATTCTCACTCCTAATCTACATTGGAAATTCAAGTCATATGGGTGTGGAATTAGCGTTCAAAATGTAGAGACTATTAAGGAGACAATAGTCTTTTAGGTGGGTGTGATAAATACATTCCAATTTTGGTTAGATATATGTTACTCTACTCGTGTTCTATTTGTCCATACGTCCTATTCTTTTCAATAATTGAACCACCTAATGCTATAAATAATCATTTATTAACTTTTCCCTAAGTTTTGCATTATTTTGTAAAACAAATTAACTGTCGATAACCAATAGCGACCGCTAACCCACTCAACTTTCATTTTTTGGCTAGTTGATTTAATTGATTTTGGCTTTTTCCAATTATACATGAAGTACTCTCACTCGAGTTAAGTAACTAGTCTCACTAATTTGATTTATATATTGAAAAACAGCATTTATTAACTGTTCATATAGTACTTTTTTGAATCATTATGCCAGCAGGAAGAAAAAAAAAAAAAAAAAAAAAAACCATTTTGCCAGCAACTACTTTTGGCAATAAAAAGGCTTTATTGATGACATGATATAGATTTGCAATTATATGACTGAACATGTCACAATATTTATTTATTAAAATTCAATTATATGACCTATATGTATCAATCACAATCTATGTAGCATGGACACAGACACAAGTCACACAAATTAATTGATAAGTCAAAATTTTAAAAAGTAGGACACAAATATAACTTGGACACGACTATGAATTTTTATTTATATACATGTATTGAGTAATAGTATTAAAAATTTAATTCATTTCTATTAAAAGTTGTAATGACTTTTATATCATGTATACATATATATATATATAGTTGTTCTATTACTTTGTCTGAATAGTGTTTTATTTGTTTCTTCCGGTGCTGATCCGGACAGAGGGTGGTCATCTCCTACTGGCTCGGACTCCATCTGGCCCAATACTAAGGTGTTTACGGAGTCAAATTTTCATTTATATAGTCTTTTTTTATTTTTTTATTTTATTTTATTTTTTTTGTTAAGGGTTCTTGACACGATTATTAAATGGGTCGTGTTCGGATTGATTTATTTAGTAGAATACCTTTAAACCGACACAACATAATTATAGCTCATGAACACGAATTTTTACCTCAAACTAAAGTTGCTAAAATGAGCCAAATTGAATGGCTTTATATATAAAGGAAAAAACTGATCACAAATATCTAATTGGAAACTGCCATCGCATTTATACGAAATAATTTCATAGGTGTGAACCATGAAAACAATGAGAAACACACTCATCACGACTTTGAAAGTAATAAGAAAATCACTCAGTTTTTGTTTGACAGGTGAGACGCCGAAAGATGGAGTACATGAAAACTAAAGCAAAGTTAAAATCATGCACCTACTTAAGTACTAAACCCATGTAAGAAACACATGTCAATGACAATTGATAAGACATACTGAACCTGAAGCTTTATATGATTAGATATAAACAAATTATGGCCATTGATGTGTGATAATAAATATATTCTCTGATCATTTCTCACCTCATGCTTCTCACAATGTCTTTGCATTGCAACCAAAAATGCAATATTTGTCAAATAAACATTAATGTCTTAGTTTAGATCTAAAAAATATGGCACTGAGCATCATCTTCATCTCTCTTTGTGTGTATGCAAGAGACAGATAGGCATGTATATATGTATATGTACTCTATCTAAATTGAAGTGAATGAAGTTCTCTGCAGCAGTACATACCAAGTAGGTCCAATGTGCTGGCAAGTTTTGCCCTTTCCTAAGTTCTCTGGAAATGCACAACAAATTATGTAAGTGAGTCACATTTTCGAATGTTCGTATCTTACAAAAATCAACATAGGACTACAATGTATATTAGCAACTCTTACACGACACAATCTGACCAAAATTCAATCTTTTTTATTAGACAATTTAATTACACTGAAACCAATGGATTGGGGACCAATTTTTAATTTCCATAATTCATATATGAAAAGTCTACTTAAACAATTACAGAGTTCGGGACAAGATTTAAGTTCTACCAAACATATATAAATATATATGGCATATACAAATAGAGAGAGATAGTAGTACCTGAATCATGGGCTTTGCCGAGGATGGAAACAAGGGGTTTGCCTTGTAATCAAGAGGAGGTACCGAGCTGGTATAATCCCGATCACCTGCCTTCGAAATCTCGCGAATACTTGGAGAGAGAATGAAGCGTATGCCCGGCCACCGCCACTAGTGCAGTCCGGCGGCGACTAGGCATGAACGGCCCATGAATTGGTGTCCTCGGAGGAAGAAGTAGAAGAAGAAGTCGGTCTGGCAGTCATATATTTTGTAGGGTTTCGCTGATCCAACTGAAAGCCTCCCCAATTTCACTGAAACTGCAATTAGGTAATGAAAAGTAAATTAACACTGAAATCAAAACGCTCTGGCTTCATAAAATCCCAATAATTGAACATGTATGAATTAAATTATGAACAAGTTGTGAAGGCATTAATTAGCTGATTGAACAGAATCAGATCAAAATTAACTGTGCATTAAACTAAATCATACAGCTTTGAATGAAATATCACAGTCCACAAGTAACTAAGGAGTAGTGAGATTCAAAGAGAAGGATAATGCGGTGCATATGAAGAGGAATCGTACCGTCGGATTCGTCGGACGAAGCAACGGAGAGACTCCGGCTATTCATAGAGAAGAGATCCAAGTTCTCGTCCGTATCCTTGGAGATTCCGTTGAGACTGAGACCTCGCCGGTGCTGTGACCTCCCTCCGATCAGAGATTCCTTCAAACTCCGATTCATTTCTACGGATCCAACACCATTACCATCCCCAATACACAAGGTTTAACTTGTGTGTGTGAGAGAGAGAGAGTAGTAGTAGATGAGAAGTAAGATAGAGAGAAAGGGAGGACGATGGACAAATACAAAATGAATAATGAAAAATAAAAATAAAAGATGGGTCCATGTTTCTACAGCAATCAAGTGCCACATTAAAAATGTGCAGCATTTTTTTTTTAAATTGCTGTTAAAATTTTGGCACCACATCAGTGTTTTGTTGCAGTGTTAAAAATGTGATAAGATTGTAATATACTCCATGACTTTCACATCTGGGATGTGGTGAATTGGGAAGGACAAACAATTTCACATTACCTCCATAATGTTGCGAGAATTGAAATGCAAATCTCAAAAGTGGGAACAAAGTTCCCCTTAGACTGTCAATTTTTTGAATAACAACCGATAAAACAAAACAAAACCCAAAAAAAAAAAAATTGTGGTCCAATCCACCTCCTCATGATATAGTTTTCATAAGAGAAACTTAAGATAAATGTCATTTAGATCTTAAATATGAGAGAAACATCAACCAATGCACCAAATAACTTTTTTCTGAACATTGAAAAGTGCCTATAAAAACATCACAGATTTATATAGTTCCCAGCAGTAAACTTTATATTTAGGGAGCAATTTATAAATTGGTTTATCATTACCATCAAAGATGGATATAAATAAGATAACAAGTAGCAAAAACAAGTTTGTGAATATAATTTTAAATAATTATTACATAATTACTCAATAAAAGATTCTTCAATTGAATTTACGCGCTTATGCATAAAAAAATGTAAAACCCAAGTCATATAATTCATTAAAAGAGTAGATGCTCCTATGCTTCGCGCATGAATTGGCGAATTGAGAGCGAATTCGCCCTAAATTCACGAACTCAAATTGTTGAGTTCACAAATTCAGATTTTCAATCCGTGAATTGTATGCGGATTGTATACAAGTATATTTGTATGACTCGTCTCATTAGTGATAAAATTATAAAAATCACTTCGTGATGTTTATCATTTTCCTATTTGTATACTCAATGCATAATTTGATTGTTTAATATTCATTCTATTCCATATTAGTAGTCCATCTTTCCATTTAGGGATGTTTCATATGAAAAGTCAGAGTAAAATAATGCTATTTTCATAATTACCTTTTAAATTTTCAAAATCTAGGAATATGCATATTTGAATTTAAAACAACAACTTGATAATTTTAAAAGTCCTAATAACAAAAGTAGAAGACTAATATGGACAGAGGGAACACACTCTAACAAGCTTAGCTAACTTGTAACACTTATGATATATAAGTAATTCACAAGGTTAAAATATATAACTATTTCATATAATTAATTATTAAAATAATTATAAATATTTATTTAATATTAGAAATTTATAAAAAATATATATATTAAATTAAAATGATAAGTTTTAAGTGGAATAAATATATATAAGTAAATATATGGGCGCTCTCAAAATTTTTAGACTTTGCCGCTTTCTCACTATCGCATTCGCTCCGGCCTTATGTGACTTAGTGTATCCCCCAACAAAGATAATCACACAAAACCAAATATTGAAAAAAAAATCATTTGTGCTAAATTTAAAATTAGTAAGAAAAAGAAGGAGATGATAAACCGAAATTTTGTATTATAAAAATAATGATTTGGAAGATTTTATAAATTAACAATAAAGGAATCATGCCAAATCTCAAGTATTTGTTTGGAATTATTGATAATTTATACCTTTTGAGCAAAAAATAGTGATTAGGAAAAAAAATATCTTCAAAAATTCTGCAATGAGAGATACTAAGTCATAATGGCACTTTAGAAAATGAACAAATCCTAGTTGAATATTAGTAAAGTTGAAGAAAAATAAATTGAGCTACCTTTTCTATCTCCGTTTGTGCGCATCAATTACTGGATGAATTCCCCACTTTTTCACCTTCAATGGTCGTTCATTGGAGAAATTTCGTCGACAAATTGAAGCCTCAATGTAACACCCATCACCATTGCATTTCCAATATTTTTTTTTAAACGGGTCACATGCATTATGAAACAATATTATGTGATCTGACTTGATGCCGTAGATCCGATCAGATATATCACAAAAGTTTTCATAATCACCATTGATTTTGAGATCAATTACATCCTTGTTAAATGATTTTTCCTTATTGATTTCGTTTTTGAAAACCGCACAAACAGAAACTCCTTTGAGGTAATGGAGAGAATCTGGATCTATCTTCAAACACACACAAGTCATGTCCTCAGCACCGCTCTTACTCTCATATTTTATTTGGCTGAACCAACTTGGAATCTCATTTCCTGGAAGAAGGACTGAACCACCAATTTCCTGTACCATATATGAAAACCATAACAAATGATTTACTAATTCTGTGAGAAAGAGGGAGAGTGATCCATACGTACGCACACCCAAATACATACTTTCTGAGCAGTTTATATTTGGCTTCTTGTTCCCATCTATTAGGGACTAATTTTGAACGTATCAAAAGGCGGACTTTGATGGGACACATTCGTGGCTTTGCCAAACCAAGATATATCTTTTTGATCAGAGGTGAATTAATCATCAGAAGAAGAATTAGGCCAAAAATTAGGATATATTCTGGGAAAATAAAACCTCCATCGAAGAGAAGCAAATGAAAGGCTTTCATAAAAATTCTCGTAGAATCGAGAATGAAGTCTACAGAGATCATCAGAAGAAGAATTAGGCCAAAAATTAGGATATATTCTGGGAAAATAAAACCTCCATCGAAGAGAAGCAAATGAAAGGCTTTCATAAAAATTCTCGTAGAATCGAGAATGAAGTCTACAGAGAGAGAGACGCATACACACAAATATATATATATATATATATATATATATATGTACGTACCTGAAGTTGACTTTCTGAATAGTATACATTTGGCTTGTTGTTCCCATGATTCTCAACCAATTTGTGGCTCTCAACGAAATTCAATTCAGAAATTCGAGCACCATTCGGAATCGAATAACGTTCTAAGGATACGCAATCTTTTGCAAAAACAGAATGTATAGATGATGGAAGTGACTCCAATTTTTGGAGGCTTAAGCAATCCTCCAAGTTAAGCGATGCAAGCCTTGTAAGTTGGGTGAAGCTTGTTGGTAAACTAACAAAGTTGTTCCCGCTTAGATTCAAATCCCTCAATGACTGAGGAAGATTAAGAATGGATTCATCATCTAAATTGCAGTTACTCCAATCTAATTTTCCATGGTTAGTCCATGATGGTAACTTTTTTATACCACTGCCTCTCAAACAAAGATTATTTAACCTCTTTATTTCACCAATATTGCTTGGCAAATTTTCAAGCATTATGCAGTCGGTTACATCTAACGAACAAAGCTTGTTGAGATGTACAACCGATGGAGGTAAATTTGTTATGACAGTTCCTTTTAAGACAAGCTCTCGTAAACTCTCCATTTCACCAATATTGCTTGGCAAACTTTCAAACATTTTGCAGTCCCCCATATCTAAACAGCTAAGCCTTTTGAGACGTACAACTGATGGAGGTAAATCTTTTATTACAGTTCCTTTTAAGACGAGCTCTTGTAAACTCTCCATTTCACCAATATTGTACGGCAAGCTTTTAAGCATTTTGCAGCCGCCCATATTCAAAGAACGAAGCTTTTTGAGATGTTTAACTACCGATGAAGGTAATTCTTTTAGTGCAGTCCCATCTAAACGAATAACCTTTATACATTCCATATCTCCTTCCATCTCTGGAAAGTACTCAAGTTTTGAGCACCGAGCAAAATCTATACTTTTGAGAGATTTCGAATTAATTTTTGTTGTGAGACTCTTTAGATTTTTACACCAACGAAAATCCAAGCTCCCAAGCCTCTCGTGAAATTCAATGGACGAGTGAACCTCAGTCAAACTTGTACAGCCCGAAAGATCTAATGTCTCCAGACATGACAACCCGGACACATTAGGAGTTTTCTTCAAATTTTGACCTGAACCGAGACAAATGATTCTTAACTTGTCTAGAATCTGCTAAAATAGAAAATTAAATGATAAAAAAATAAAATAAAATAAAAACACGAGAGCTCAATAATAATGTTCAGTTTCCTTTAATTTTTTCTTTTACATTTTTCCTTTTCCTTATCCATCCCTCACAATCTGAAAAATAAAAAAAATAAAATAAAATAACATACAGAAAAAAAAATATACTCAAGGAACGAGAGAGTTACTGAAACTATATGGGGTCAATGACATTTGTTTAATTAGTTTATTTCAATTGGCATTCAGTAAGAGGAAAATATATATTTTTTTCTTATGTCAAGTCATTTTTTTACCTAAAAACAAGAGAACAAAAAAGAATTAAACTTACTAAGGAAAAAAAAAAAAAAAACGAAGATTTGCCTCGTACAAAGAACATCTCAATCGCTATTGGTTCATTTTTTTTATTAGTATTATCATTGTTTCTTTTTTACATCTAAATAGTAACCAACTATTTTTGGAACTAGTAATGAACTGTTCATCCATAAAACTGAACCACCTTATAGTACTGATGACATGCAAGATCTGTAATGAATTTACTTGGTATATAATCTAAATCTGTTATGCCATTTTAATTACTTATTTAATATTTTTTTATAAGTGATAGCTGCTATCAGTATTATTGTTTGTTTGGACAATTTTCCAAATGTACCCTCGAGGAGGTTCTTGACAATTTTTTTCCCGGTGAATTTAGTTTCAATGATCCGTCATGTTACCAAGTTGCTGAAAAATGAAAATCATCAAACATTTTATTTTTGTTTTTTGTTTGTTTTTGCTTTGTTAGTAAGAAAACTTGATAATTTTAAAAGTCCTTATAACAAATGAAAATCACCAAACATTGTATATGTATAGTAAGAAAACTTAGGGGTTTCTCTAAAAATTGTCGTAAAATATATATGAGGTCAATTTGTGATATAAATCATCTTCAAACAACTTAACAAAATAATTGGCAAAGAGAAGCATAATGCACCTTAAATAATAACATTACCTTCCCATCCTCAAATTCAACTTCAACCAAACTGTCACAGCCTCCGAGATACAATTCCTCCAGAAAAGGAAACTCTGGAATATTAGGATTTACCAGATATGGGCAAAAATTGAGATTAAGGACTTTCAACCTCTCTAGAAACTGTGAAAATATAATATATATATATATATATATATATAAAATAATAAGTTAGCTTCAATTGGGTGGAGAAGATTATTTTATTCGAAAGAGAAAATTTTAACAGAAAGGAAAACCACATGAGTAAATTAATTATCTTACTTTTGAATTCGTGCAAATCCCTTTGATCAGGCTATTAGGTAAATGGAGTTGAACATGTCTTTTCGGATGAAAATTGTATGGCAAATATTCTTGGGGATAGCCATCCCACTCAAGATACCTTAACTCATTTGAAAGATCTGTAAGGCACCCATCAAGCCGTACACCATTGATTTTGAGTATTCGTAACTTCCTCATCTTTGTGAACGCATCAGCTCTTACATACAACCCTCCCTCTAAAGATAATCCATTGTTGGGTAGCATAATAGCTTCGATTTTTTCTGTCACCTATCAACACCAACAGAAATAAAAACCCAACTATAATTATACTCTTCAAAGAAGACAACAAGGAACAATACAAGAAACTTGCTTTGTTAGCAAATCTTGCACGTGGAAAGAAAGTAACATATACGTCTTTAACACGTACCATATTTTCAGCGAATACATGACAGATGTCATCACAAGACCACAACCTGCTGCGTTCTCTAGGTTCTTTAGATTCTTGACGAACAATTCCTCTGCCCATTTCTTGTATCAAGTCATGCATTAACACCACATTTTTTTCTGACATATTAATGAGGGACCTCTCATTAAGAATTTGTATTCCAACGGCCACGTCAGATTCAGGCAACTTAGAAACATTCATGACATATTTCTTATGGCATCCATTGAAGAAACACGCGATATCAAGAAAAATATCCTTCTCTTCCTCATTAAGGCCTTCATAACTAATCTTTAAAACACGATAAACATTTTCCTTGATTTCTTTGGGAGGGTTGGTCTTCAACTTATCCAATATACTTGACCAATATTGTTTTCCTCTTTTGTATAAAAGAGAACCCAAAACTTGGAGAGCAAGTGGAAGGCCCTTGGCATAATCTTTTGCACGGTGTGAAAGTTCCTCATAATCATCTTCAGGCTTTTCCCGCTTGAATGCATGACAACTGAAAAGTTGTAGCGCTTCACTCTCATTTAATAACTTAAGATGGTATGTTCTAACATTATACTTTTCCAACAATTGTTTATCTCTAGTTGTTAGGATGATCCTACTACCACTACAAAACCATTCCTGTTCAACGAAGTACTGCAACATATTTTGGTCGTCTACATCATCAAGCACTAGAAGAAACCTTTTATTACCAAGTCTATCCTTTATCTCATTGATTCCCCTATCAGGATCTGATATTGTTATAGTTTGATCCCTTAGGGTCTCCCTGAGAAGCTTGGTTTGTAGTTTAGCTAGACCACCATCCTTTGCTAGCTCTTCTCTCACTTTTTCAAGAAAGCAACTTCTTTCAAAATCTTTTGATTTACGGTTGAAAACCGCTTTGGCAACGGTGGTCTTACCTGCTCCTCCAATTCCACAAATTCCAACAAAGAGTTGATCCTCGTCTAGCAATGTAATTATTTTGTCTACGCGTGCATCGATACCCACTTCGTACTTAGCAACTCTGAATGGTTTAGGTTGCAATTTTTCTAAAATCACTTGTACAATATTTTTGATAAACTTATCCTCATACCTGTTAGGTAGAAAGCACGTTAAAATCAACGACTTGAGGAGAAAAAAAAAAAAAAAAAATAGAGAAAAAATAGGTTGAGAGAAATATATAAAGGTTGAAATAAATATTTACTCATTATAAATTAAATAAAGCCCTAATATATTGCTCCTTGGTGGGAAGTCAATAAAGTTGTTGCTGCTCTTTATCACAAACCAATAAAATAATGTATATATACATTGAACTAAGCTAGTAATAACTGATCATATATAGAAGCATAACGTGTATATATATAGAAGCAGAATATATATCTATATATATATATATATATATATATGTACCCATTAGCTGCATCTTGTAAATCCAAGCCGCTTAGATTTGCTGCTTCCTTCAAAGCGTCCCTCCATCTCTTAACCCTTTCCATGTCCTCTTTGTAATTTTCTTCATGCTGTCTAAATGCTTCCGCAAAACTCCTCTTCTGGTACCGAACTCGCGACGCTTTGACATGGTAGAAGATGGGCAAAACTATTTGCCCCTTGGTCCTCCTGCACTCAAGGATCTCCACCAGTTCATCCAAGCACCATGACGAAGAAGCATAGTTTTTGGAGAAAACGATCACGCCAATTCTCGATTCATTAATATTCTTCACCATTTCTGAAGATATAGATTTTCCTCTCTCAAGCCTTTCCTCATCTTTGAAGGTCCTAATTCCTCTCTGGTCTAGAGCTGTGTAGAGATGACCCACAAAGGTTTTGCGAGTGTCTTCCCCTCTAAAACTTAAGAACACATCATATTCAGATCCATGCAGTGATGACGATGATGATGATGAAGAAGAAGCAGCCATGGAACCTAGCTTAATTATGAAACAAATTACTAGGAGCTAGAGATTTATCTGAGAGCAATAAGTGAGTGTATATATTCTACAGATACGTATTCAAAAAAATCTTAGCCATTAATTAAGTTAGATGGCTGTTCCAATCTTAGCAATTTCTTGGCACTACATTGATACTACCTTGATACTGAAAGCTCTGGCGGTTTGAGTGCAATTTACCTCACAAAAAAGAAGTTTATAAAAATAAAAATAAAAATAAAAAATTATTTCCATAGTCATAAACTAAATCACCTTAATTTTTTACTTTTTATACTCTTGTTGTGGTTGCTTTTTAGCATGTACAATTGTTAAGTGTTCATTTATAAGTGGATGTAATTGACGTATAGAGGGCAAAACTTGAGCGAGCCAAACATATAGACCCAATTGAATCTATTCGGGTCTTTATTTGGTTAGGTCTGTCAACCAAGTAACCAATTTTTAATATCAACAAATTATCTGGGTATAAGCTTTCTGTGAAATTTTTTTGTACATAGTATTTTCCACTCTTCCTTTGATTTCCTTCTGTCGATGGTGTTGAATTTTCCATCTTAGCATTTGATTTCCTTCTTTCGATGGCGTTGAATTTTCCATCTTAGCAATTGCTATGATTTTTCCACATTGGCCTTCAGTTTTGGTGCAGAAAGAGACTATGACTTGACCCCAAGTCAAGATCTTGACAAATAATTCAAGTTAATTTTATGTTGTTAAATAGTATATGACTTCCGGAATATATATATATATATATATATATATATATATATATATATATATATGAGTTGACCCAAGTCAATATCTTAACAAGTACTCCGTAATTCAAGCTGAGTTTATGTTACATTATCTAATATTCTATTTATCTATTGGCTATTATCATTATTATCATTATTGAATTTTCTATTTATCTAAGTTTCATTAAGCTTTTGTAGAGATTACTCTGTTTTTATTTGATTAGGTATGGATTCGTATTATCTCAATTTTTATTATGAATTGTTATTTCAAATTAGTTCGGAAACATGATTTGGATCTAAGTTTCTGTCCGTCAATCAATTATGAAATACTACGAAAAATCAAATTGAAAAAACAATTTGCAATGGGAAGAATTCTGCGTAAGTTGATCTGTGTCAAGTCTCTTCAAATAAATTGAAATACCAAAGTATCCAAAGCTACTTAAGGTATTGAAGCTATATTTAATCCTTTTCACCGTAATAAAATGCTTATTATCTTAATGTTTGAAATCTAGATATAATCATTAAGTAAATTTTCGTACATCATATTGTGCCAGAATCAAAATTATTTCAAATACCTTGCCGAAAGGAAAAAGAAAACGAATATTAAAACTACTAATCAAGCTTCACCCAGAAAAAGGAAAAAAGAAAAAAAAAATCAATAAAATATTACTTAATACAAATGATGTTTAAGCAATTTCCTACACTACATTGATCTGGCGTGGCAGGTAGTCACAATCAAATTAATGGGTTGATTACGAATATAATGACAACTTGATAATTTTTTTAATTTATTATTATTTTTAATTCTACTAAAAATTTTACTTTCAATTTTAAAAGAACACGTAACTTTGTGATTTTAATTCTATATATTTTCTCCAAAATAAACTAACAAAAGAAGTTAGTTTATCAAAAAGGTTATTAGTGTGTGTTTGGATGGATATCCCATTAACTTAATTGAGAAATAATGGCAAAATTGTCAAGTTATTTAATGTTAAATAAAAATGCTGAATATTATTATTTTAAAATTACAAAATAATAAAAGACCATTAAATTAATGTTAAATTACAAAAAAAAAAAAAAAAAAAACACACACACACACAAAATTATTAGTTAATATTAAATTACAAATTTGACCTTTGCATTTTAAAATTACAAAAATAATTTAAAAAATTATTATCAAAATTTTAGTTTAACATTAAATAGCAATGTCAATTTTATCAATTCACAACCAAATTATCGAGTTGATCACGAATATAAATACAACTTGATAACTTTTTTTAATTTAAATTATTTCTAATTTTGTTGAAAGTTTTATGTAGACTTTGTAATTTTAAACATATATTTGTTTCTAGAAAGAACTAAAGAAGTTATTTTTTTCAAAAAGGTTATTGGTGTTACGTTGAGCACTTGAGCAGACGTGAAATCCATCACCTAAAAAGGCTAGTGCATGATTTGTTGAATTTATTACATCTTTTTTATAAAACATATATAGTTGAATTTTTGGTACCTAATTTTTACACAATATACTGTATAACATATACACCTGTACATAAAGCTTTATTTTACACCATTCTTTTTATATGTCTAATTTTTTGAACATTTATATAATAATAGATTCAATCAAATTCCTACTTATTTAAATATGTACATGATGTGAAACAGCTATGATTTTCTAGCATTTTCTTCTCACTGTTACAAAGATGAAAATTCAGATTAAGATTTTTCACAATGAAGTCTAGTGGTAGGACCTGAAATTATTAAGATGATAGAAAGTTTGAGGGTTTAAAGCCACTGTATGAAGATTAAGAAAAGGAAAATTAAGAAAAGAAAAGGTATTACAAGTGCTTTTCTTACCCCCACCATTTATGACTTTTGTATTGGTCAGGTTGACTACAAACTACATTCAATGTTTAAGCAATTTTCTACGTTGGTGGGCTATATAAAGGAAAACAAAGACCACAAAATTCTAAAATTTTCATTCTTGCTATAATTGCATTCACACGAATTATTAAATAGGTGTGACCCACAAAAGTAATGAGAAATGCTTCCATCACTTCTTTAAAAATAGTGAGAAAGATAGTGTTTAGAAACATCAACACCTCCTACTCTTATTATTACCTTATTAAAGTTTTATTTCTTTTATTTATTTATGAAAATAAAAATAATTTAAAAAACAAGAAATTCCCTTCTTGTAATAAACCACCGGCTGGCGGGCCCAATACTAAGCTGTTTACAAAGTCAATTTTTTTATTTTGTCCTTCAGAGTCAATTTTTTTTTTTTTTTTAACTGAGACAATTCAATACCTCACCTAATTGGAGTAACAAATATTTACTCTTAATAACCTCGAACATTTGTTATACATGACCATGTCGGTAAAGCCTTACCAATTTCATGCAAGCATGCCATGCAAGTATGACTGTATGAGCTCATTTTGAATTAACACACTTTGAATACTAAAAAACATTACATTTTAAATTATTCATGTTTTTCGTGAATTTTTGTACATCAGGCCCACTCTTCCACAGGCGGACACAGAGGGGGGCTTCGGTGGGCTTGAGGCCCCCCCCCCCAAAATTTTATTTATTTATTTTAATAATGCTAAATTTAGTCTAATTCTAAAAAAAATAAAATTTAGTAGTAGTATTAGTCCTCTTAAATATTAACCCATCCAAATAAGTCCAAGATTTAAGTTACAATTTTAAAACAAAGACCAACTAAATAGGTCCAAGACAAACAAACCCTAATAAATCACTAAAGCCCGATTAAGAGTTAGAGCATAAATCAGAAAGCTCCTCCTAGTCTTCGTATTTTCTTTAAAATTTTCAATTCTTTCAATCTTTTGATCCCCCTAAGATTCAATCATCCTGTTAATTTTTTTTTTTTTGCTTAGCCCCCCTCTTGACAATTCCTGGATTCGCCCGTGCACTCTTCCGTTGATTTCCTTCTTCCCATGGCGTTGAATTGTCCATCTTACCAGTTGCTGTGATTTTTCCAATTGGAAAGACCAATCACATTCTTTTATTCTTATTTATATATGTGTGTGTGTATTTTGTCCATGTGGGAATTTGAATCCTAGACCTTTTCTTAGGAAGGTGAAGAAATACTACTGGACTAAAAGGTCGATCTTGGTGATTAATGGCATTTCAGCATTTGAAGCAAACTGAAGCTGACATGAAGATATTGAGTTGGTATAGTCTAAAAGATTGCAGAGCCAGCTCCCTGGGGACGACAACTCGTGTGCTGCAAATGGGCTTCTTGAAATTTAGCTCTTGATTGGGCCTAGTTTTGGGCTTGAATTGGGCCCATTGTGGAGCCTAGACGTGCATTTTTATTGTTAGTGTGTGTGTGTGTGTGTGTGTGTGTGAGAGAGAGAGAGAGAGAGAGAGAGAGTGAAGATATTAAGAATGCGTTCGAGAATATAGGATTGGGACCTTGAGCCTTGAATTTCAATTTCGCCTCATGGTTGTTCAATATGAATTCGGATTTGGAAATTGAATTATAATTCGAAATTCACCAATTTCACGATTTGAAGTTAAATGACTTTCTTTTTTTAATTTAAAGTAGTTTTTACTAATAAAGAATTTAGGTTAAAAGTAAATTTTGAAATAAGATAATTATTGTTAATTGAACCAAGAGTTCAACTCTCCAACAATAAATATTTTCATCTTATAATGGATTACTTCATTTCATAACCGATGAGTCTATGTATGAACAAGGATTAATTTTTACTTCTCGCCAAGCCTTTGGTAGGCTCTTGTGAAGAAGTTATATATACTTTTCATACTTTGAATATGGAGTAATTCACTTAATTTTCTCTGCATTATTGAGTTTTTGCCGGCATTTATCATGCACTTTTGGGGCTCGAGACTCATGTAGATTAATCTTTTTCATTTCTTGGTTATATATGGAATGATAGAAATACAATAACCACAGTTTTAGGTATTTACTTAATTTTGTTAGGTATATGCGTTTTTCGTATAGTATTGAAGGCTCATTAAGATAAAGGTTGTAATGAAAATTTGCAAGCACCCCATGTTACTTTGTTCTTTACTTGGTTGAAATTTTCTCTTTTTGACGAAAATGGTAAAGAATTAAGTCTCGAGAACCGACAAACATTGTCAAAGGAAATGAATGAGAGTCCAAATTTGCAAGTGACCAAGGTTCAATAAATTCAGCTTATATTCAAGATATCATGAAAGAAGCCAACTTCCCCAAAATAGAAATAGAAAGCCGTGACAGAAATGAATAAAAACGGATGGAAGATTGTATCTCCAAGTAAAGTAGTTGGTTGGTGGTGGGTCATAATTCAAACTTGCAAGTGGACCTTTGACGGCAAACAAGATAAGATGACATGAATTTGTAAAATAAATTAAAATTATTTTGTGATTTTACGTACACGAATAGGATTGTAAGAGTATCTCTAACGATTTTGTATATATATATATCTATATATATATTTGTATAAATCTAATATGTCATAATATATTTACACAAAATTTAGATATTTATCTTTAGCTCCAG